CCACAATGAACAACATTCCGAATTAAATTTGTAGATTCTAATTATATAATATAAATAATACAGCCTATTTCATGTCCTCATTTTAGTCCGGGTATGGATTGGATTTTTAAATGTTGTTTAGACGAGATTCCGTTTCAAAGCGTCCAATGAATGGTTTAAAAAAAGTGTAAGCCGCCCACAAATAACCGATTCCCAGCTGTCCCTTTACCTGAACAAACTCTTTAATCAATTGGTACCACATTACAACCTGAATCTGTTTTATCCAGCAAAACATTTTCTGCAATTAACTTTGTCGTTTGACTATGGAGTGGAAATAGCAAATTCAATACAAGAGACGGAAATTGGTAGGGGAGGGGAGCACAGCACGCCCCCCCCCCTCCCGATCCAATATTTAATTTGCGATTGCCTACTGTCAGCAACCGTCAATCACGTGGCAGTTGTCTGCCTGTGGCACGCGAGCCTGCGTTTACAAACAATGGCACACCAAACAGGATTCGAATGGACCCAGCAATTTGCTGATACTTGGAGCAGCTGTGAGCTGCTGCTGGAGTTAATAGATTAACGTAAAATGCTTAGCAGTGAATTTAGCGTGACTAAACAGCGTCATTATCGACATGTGTTCAGCAAATGTCCTATTCATTTTGGGCTGGTTTACGTAACTGGGGTTTGCCATTGTCCCCCCCCCCCCCTAAATGTGACCTACCGATATTTAGCAACACGATCTTAAGGAAATTCTTTGGCAGTAACACCTGCTTATGGCGGCCTGCACTGAACAGAAGGAACTGAATGCAAGTAAGACATGTGGCCGTGTTTCGGTTCGCATGTACACGTTCCAGTTATTTTCCCGGGGAGAACTAAGGGAATTTCAGTAGCAGCCGGCCGAGGTACCCCTGAGGTAACCTGTCTGCCACCACAATTTACCCGCCGTTAGTGTTCAAACACCTGATCAGAACAGCCGGAGGCGAGTTAGTGTTCTGCTGAACTCCAGTCGAGTCTCCGTCTCGTTGCAGATTATCGGAGCTCTGTCGACTGCGCAGTTTGTGTGGTGTTTTGGAGCCTGAGAATGCAAATTTGTGGTTTGAGGAAACAAAGATTAGAAAGAAATGGGTTGGGAAAACCGTGATAAACAGCGGTCTGGAATCCTGGAGATCCGGATCAAGAACGATTCTTTGAAACAAGAAATAGTTCGCAAAATGACGTTTTCTCTGAGTGCCCTTGGCTGCCCCGGCAGTAGGTCGGCCTTAGGCTTCACATGTGCCGCTGTTGCGCCCGCCAGCTGCTCCTCGTGTGTACGTGGGAACTGTCAACACCACACGATATTGTTTGGTCTTAAAGGGGGGAAACACTTGGTCCTTTGGATATTACAC